TTCGTAAGTTCTCTTGTTAATCAATTTGTCGAGAATGTCTCTTCATCTTTGACAAACTCGCTCCATTAAACGCGAAAGAGTTAACGTTAATTAATAAGCGTTATCATATTTGTGACAGGATAATTGATATACGCTCATACACACACATATATTCTCTCTCTCTCTCTCTCTCTCTCTCTCTCTCATCTATCTGCAATTTTCACAGCCCAAGTCCATTAATCGTCCTTTCAATTTAGATTATAATTTTTCCCCTGAGTTTTGCAGCGTTATTATGTGATATGTAAAAGCATGTCGGCCAACAACTATCAATTATATTTTCGTCATAGATTTGTTACAATGGCAATTTATCTGCTCGCGTACTATGACGTTTTATATTATTTTTTCTCAAATTTAACAATAGTTATTAGAAGTGGCCCAATAACATAAAATATAAATGGGAAAGAGCATACAGCCACACACGTAAGAAGTTTTTTGCCAAAGTCATACATTTCAAATTAAAAATGTAAACGTTCTGTCTCTTGGCCATTATCAGTACAATAAACGAATGCGAGATGTTAAATAGTTAAATAATAGAACGCCAATTAAACTTTTGTGTCATTTAGCGTACAAAACTTATTAATATTTTAATTTATCACAGTCTTAAATTACTTTGCTTTCAAAATTGCATACAGATTTCTTTTCCAAAACCTTATATTTTCTAACTGTCAACTGATATATTTAAAAGTTATATTGTTAAAAATTTCGCGTAATTAATAAATGGCAGCTGTATCTGATGCATGTCGCAATCGTAGTTTGAAACTTAGCAGTCCAGTGATTAATTTTCCATGTTAGTAAGTGTACCAACGTAGATAGAGCCTCGTGCAAGGCCGCGCGTTAGATGCTCCCGTTGCGTTAATTCTCACGAAGACACGCGCTTCCTATGTTTCATAAATCGATTCTCACCGACAAGCCAAATGCGAAACAAATGGTCGATGCAACAAGCAACAGAATCAAAGAATGGAAGAATCTTAACCCTAGATATACACACTGGAATTCCAGAAACCTCAGTGCAATTTGCTAAATCGAGATTTTTTCGTGTTTCTAAAAAACTTTTCTTTTTCTTTAAACCTATATATCTCGAAGCTACTTAATTCTATTGACTTTTACACCTTATAGACTTGTTTCTTAATCAATTCTCCATCGACTGAAGAAAAAAATTAATTGAAACATGTCCATTTTTACGGAAGTTATGGTAACAAATATGGATGGGGTCCCAGGGACCCTAGTATTATGTATCAAGGGTAAAAAAAAAGAGTGTGTATAGTTAGGGTTAAGAAGAAAAAATAATAAGAAAACGAACCCAACTCGTTTTATTTACGATGTAATATGGAAAACAATGTAATAAAAAATATCGAACATAACGTACATTGAAAGAAATAGGACGGGGAGAGGGGGGGAGAGAGAGAGAGAGAGAGAGAGAGAGAGAGAGAGAGAGAGACATATGATTTCTAACTTCGATCGTAATTTGTACTTGATTTCCGTATCAAAGAGGACTGACATCCAGAGTCGTGAAACGTTCAATTAACTTTGTTAGGAAGTATTTCAATTGTTTGCGAATTATATCTTATCGCCAGGGTGCATTCCAAGCATGAAGCGTATGATGCATCATTTGTCTTTGTTGTTCAACAAATAATAAAGAAGGATAAAATGATACATCATTGCGCTTCATGCGTAATTCGGAACGCACTCATACATACCTACATATATTGGAGATATAAATATAGATATTTTACTTGTATTTGATTTATTCTTGGAACTATAAAACTATTTTTATAACTTTAAGTTATCCGTGATTGGAAAATTGTCTACGTCGACGCATCAGCCTACTTTATTGGTTCCTAAGAGACTATCGTGTGCTTTTCTTTGTCTTGCAAAGTGGCCATCAACGTGATGCGCGGCGCTCCGAGAAGAGCATGAGTTTGTTATTTCAACAAAGGGTGGAATCACTGTGGCGCCCGCACGTAACTATCCATGAATCTTCTGTGCTAACATTCGCGGTGTTTTGCCACGGAAAGTAGCTGTGGGTTTTCTTAGTAGCCCCTCGTGCTTTTCGCTTCATTGATACTCTTACCTAGGGAGATTTAATTAAACCACTTAATTAATGCGTCTCGCAACAGAACAAAGTATCCGTATCTATCTTATGCACGAGAGAAGCGCGGAAAAGTAGATGAACTTTTTGTTTTGTTACAGCATCAACACGATGCTGAAGAGGGCGAAAGAAAATGAAAACAGAATGAGAATATATTCACGTAAGTTACGCTGCTGTATAGCAGCTGTTAACTCGAATAACAGCAGCGATTACGCGCCTCGTTAGCTCATTGTTGACGGATTACATGCATACCTAATCGTATTATCCATATAATATGATGGCTGCATTTACTATCTATCGCATGTATTTTTTTTACAACGAAAAATGATTAGTGTTATTTTCATTTGTCGACTAAAATGTATATTTATTATTTTTTTTTATGAAAGAAAACGTTACTTGCGAAATCCGGAAAGTTAAACTAACTATTAAATCTACATGAAGCCACCCAAGTGGGAGGTTCTGCACTATGACTATGATAAATTATACAGTGGTGACTATTGATTTCACCGCGGCTAAGGTCAGACGCTACGGCAAAATTGAGTACGAGAAGTAACCACTGGTCAGCGAACAAATTCAATCTTTTTGCTCCAAATAGCGGGGCTCTTGTTATACCGATTTCACTTTCCAAAAAATCTCGACATTAATTTACGCTGAAGGAATAAATCTCCAGATAAATACATTGATTAGATGTAATCAAAGAATTATCATAAAATTAATCTGTCCAAAACTATAACATACCCCATCATATCGTTTGGATCAATATAATTACAAAGCTATAAAAAATAAAAAATTTTAACAAAAAAAAGATATTACATTGACAGACAAAGTCATTAAATATTAGAGAGAAAGTTTTGAAATAAAATATTAGTAAGAAAATAAATTTTGGAGCAAAGACCCGAAGAGCAGAGTTAAAAGAAATCTAGTATTTTGAGAAATGCGCATAAAGATGTATATCGAATATGAAATAAAAAATATATTTTATCGAAATTCGACAACGCGTTTAATTTAGTCTTATCTCGATTCCCGTATAAATCTTGAATATCTATTTTTTTAGAAGAAGAATTCAGGACGGAAGATGGTGGGATGAAAGATGCCTACTAAATTTGCGACTTTCTTGCTAGCGACCGATAAATCTTTACGTGCGACAACGCGTTATATTGATTTATTTCCGCCGGCAATAACCGTAAAGTAGCGTAACACTTCGTGCAGATGTTTATCTCGGCTGTTACGACGGAAATGGCAAGACGTTCTCGCAATGTTATTCGGTAGACGAGAAAAATGTTTTCCTGCGTTATTAAAAGTTTTCTTAAAATGATAACAAATTGAGAATATTAGTAGTTTCGTTTCACAGAAACGATTTCGTTTTACTATGAAACTAAGTTTTAGTTTGAAATTACGCCTTGCTTCTCGTCCGTCTTTTTCTACATATATATGTGTAGACACTTGCAAGGACAAGACTACTTTGAACTTATCATAGTACGGATTACACGTATCTAAACCGTAGACTGACAACTGAAAAGTTGATAATGCCCCAAGTGTATGTTTGCGTAACTACGTATCTTATGTTATATAATAGGTTGTTGTATATATATATATTTATATATAATATGTATTATATTTATTTATATTTAAATATACATATATGTATACGTATGTACATAAACAGGATATATCTAGATTTGACAGTATATTTTATGGCTGAAATAAGAAAAAAATGTTATGTAAGCATAGTTTTTAAATGCTTTAATAAAAGTTATAACGAATATATGAAATATGTAAAAAACGATTTTATCTAAGTTTGCATTTCAAATTGTTGTCCGTCCATGTCAATACAAGTTTGATGTAATTTTGAATTTAGAATTTTTTTGCAAGGACAGAGAAAATTTTTATAGGAAGGTGTTCTTCCTATTCTAGCAAAAAAAAATTAGAAATTCAAAATTATATCGATATCAAACTTGTATTGACATAGATGAATGACAATTTGAAATGCAAACTTGGACAGAATGATTTTTTATACATTTTATATTTTTGATATAACTTTTTAATAAAGCATTTAAAGATTTATGTTTATATATAACATATTTTTGAAACAATAATACGGCGATTAAAATAAGGCGAATGAAAACGTTTTTTCTTGTTTCAACTCATAAAATATATAGTCAAAATTTGTACGGAAAATCAGAGAACATGTATATAAATCCTGTGTATAGATCATTATGTTAATAATAATTTGTTTAGTTTATCCTTTATCATACAATATATAACAAAACATACATAGATATACGATATACACTATCGCTCAAAAGTTTGGAGCATCTACAAATTTTGGAAAGAAGGCTTAATGAACTTTATTCACTGACGTTGTAAATATATAAAAATATATGAAAGTAAATATATAAAATAGTGTAGATTCAAAAAACTGAAAATTGATATTTTTAATAAAATAACAGTATCTGTAAAGAATCATGCTTTTAAAAACTATAGAATATCCTAAACTTTCTCTCTAAATCTAAATCAGTTTATACTCTCTCTCTCTCTCTCTGAAATATTTAAAAAATTTAACTAAATACACATCCGAAAATAATTTTGTCCAATCATCAAAACAATTACATAGAAATCTCACGCATGATGAAAAATATTGCAAAAGATTTAAACATTCCAGCAATCAGATTGAGCGTCCTACATAATTATTTTGATGGTCTAACAAAATTATTTTCAGACTTGTATGTAACTAAATTTTTAGATACTTCAGTAAAACCGTCCTTTTCGTGTATCGTTTTGACATGCCGTCGTATATTTGGCATACGTCGTGAACTGTCGCTGTATTAAAAAATCTGTAATTATTGTCGAAAAATCAACAAATAATACTCACCGTCCTTTCTGTAGTAAAGAATCTCGAAGTGCTTTTCGACGCCAGCAGCAAGGGCGTCTCGTAGGGCTGCAACCGCGTGCGGTGATGTCATTGGTCCATGGAGGAAGTCGCAGACTGCTGGTCGCTGCATCACCTCGGCCCTTGAGAAGCCCGTCAGCCGACAGAATCCGTCCGAGCAATAGATAATGTGGCATAGTCCTTGCTGAGCATTCGCTACTAAAAAGCTTCGATCTGCAACAAATGCCAGATATACCTTAATATGACTAATTTCTTTGCGAAATATATACCTTTTCCTGTTTGAAACCGTCATTAAAACGATTTTATGAATTAAAATTTTGGATGTTTTATATAATTCAAAATATTTTAAGTTAATGAAATGCTGTTTAAATTAACAAAAAGTATGTCCAACTTATTTCCTAGATTACTCTCTTTCATATTTCATCAATATTTATGTTTTATCATACCTTTATGTATTCTTATAACTTAAACCCTTGATTATGAACTATAAATAAGTAAAATATGCAAATTTATATTGCATTACATTATTTAATTGTTTGTGACATCTTTTCCCATAGGAGGTGGCATCTTACTTGTATATATGTATAGGGGGAAGATGCCACTTTTTGCAGGGTGACATCAATTTTTTTAAATAATATATCAAAAGTTTAATTTATTGATTTGTATGAATAAAGAAAGGTTGCTAGAATATAAATAATATTTTTTCGTTCGTTAATTTAATAATATTGAGAATAAATTTGTTCAAGAATAAAGGCTTAAGTGTGATATCTTCCCCCCAATGACCTCAATAGCGATGGTCACGCGGCAGCTTCGTTAAGTCTACTGAGACTTCAATAGCTCATTAAGATAGGTAGCGATAATATATTTCCGGGGTATCTAAATTTAACATTCGCCGTAAGCCTATATAAGATGGACGCTTCTCTTGTTAACAATAATCCTGGAGCGCCCTGGCATTTATATTTATCGCTCGTGCTCACTGCAAATTAACGCAAATGACCTATTCTGCCTGTACATACGTAGCTGCTAGCAGTATCTATCTCAGGCCTTATTCTCAACATAATTAAACAAAAAATATTTAATATAAATTAAATGTAAACTTCTGACAAGGTATGTATGGAATTCTATAACTTAGAAATTTGCATGTATGGAGTGCTCCAGACCGACCCTACTGAAGTCGCCAGCCTTGATTAGGTATTAAGGAAACAATGATAAATCAATCCCTTGAGTTAAAAATAGCATTTTATCAAGGTTGGGTAATGCTAACAATAAGTTAAAAGTTAAAAGTTGAGTTAATTAATGTTAACTTCATTTAGTTACATTTTAGATTATAAATTTTTTAACTTTATATAGTTATATTTTATCGGTAACTATTAACTTTTAATTTGATTTTTTAAAAGTTAACATCAGGATTGAATAGTTGGCGTTATATGGATCCCCTATACTCGGATTACATCCTTATACATTCGTGGCCGTCGGAAATGTATTTTTTTAATTTTAAATAATTTCAAATATTTCGTTTACGTTCAAACAACGAAAGAAATTTGAAAGCGATCTGTCATCGTGTTCTAAAATTGTGATTTTCTTGAAAAATACGCAGAAGTACAATTTACTGATTTACAGGTATTACTTTTTAGTTTTTTAATTTAGTAAAAAAAAAGTCAACTTGAAATTATGAAATAAAACAAATTTAACTTTTAACTTTTCAATTATTTTTTTTCCATTAACTTAACTTTTAGTTCAATTGTCACTATGGGTTAATTTTTATCTTAACTAATCGTAAATTAAATTTTCAAAGCTATTTATTTTAATTTAACTTAAGTTAAAAAAAAATGTTAACTTATTCAACTCTGAATTTCATTATTTTAACTTTCAAGTGTGTCAAAATGTAAAGCAATCCATTTCTAGTTGAATTTCGTAGTTTCAAAATATACATTTGCACTTATAATATTGTTAGTAATAATAAATCAAATTTTGGTCAAATTTGTCACATTTCTTGAGTTAAATTCTTCCATTGTTTAAATTAACAACATATTGAGCAGTAACGACTTATAGAAATAATTAAAAATTGTTCGAATTGTGAGTAGGATAAAGGCGCCCAAGAGTATGCACTTTCTTTTCATGCTGCATAACATGTACAAAAATCCGATTTTGAGCAGTAAAGTGCTGCTTAAGCTATTTCTTACAGTTTGAACTAAAAGTATGTCAAGTATAAATTTGATACAAGCACTCATTTTTACAGGAAATTAATTTTACTAAGAAGGTAAAAATGCATATTCTTATTTCTTGGCAAGTGTCTTTTCAAGAGTACGTATTATAAAAAAAGTGTTACTTATTGTAAAAACTATATTGATTGAGATAAAAAAACATTTATTTTTGTATCTTTAATATAAAATCTTTATAAATACTTGAAGTATTTTTTATGTGCAGAACATTTTTTACATAAGTAAATTTTCGACCAATGGTTGATCCCAATCGATATGGGCTTAAAGCCAATAGCTTTGGCTCTAGATCCAATTTTCACCGGATTTAGAATTCAAGTACAAATCGTTACAAAATATGTGAGCTGTATCGTCGTTATCATCAGCATTGTTTCCACAGGCTGAATCAAGTTTTAAAGTGCGTACTTTTATGGGCCATCACATTACTTTTTACTAATAAAACTGTATAAAAACTATTATATTGCAAATATTATGTAAATATATCAATAAATACGAAGCAGAGACATGCACACCATATAAATGATTCACAAAGCAATAATTTAATGTAAAAACTAATAAATTTATTCGTGACAAATACAATAAGAAAATTTCATCAAAATATCACAAAATTTAGTATATCTCCTTTATTGCTGCAACGATCACAATTGTCTTTTATACATATTGGCTAAGCAAAAAGGCACATTCTGTGTAAGTTAGGTATAGCTGCTGCGATTTAATAATTACGCTTTAATAAAGCTTAATGCGTACTCTCAAACGATCCATACTCTTTAAACGGATTTACTCTATGATTTGACATCATAAATTTAACAGTCTAGAACTCTCAAACATGATGAGCAGTGTTGCAAAAAGTGTTGACATTCTAGTCAATCTCAGTTTAAGCGTCCTACTTAATTATTTTGATAGTCCGACAAAATTATTTTTAGATCGATATCTAGCTAAGTTTTTAAATACTTTAGCTGTTCTTTGTGTGTTTTTAGCAAATATCTTCTTTGAAATTCGTTCTATCAAACATAAAAAATAAGATTTATTCTACGAAAAATTTATGCGTCATTTCTCGCCACTAGTAAGACGCAAACATATAATATAAATCCAGCGACTGATAAATTCTGGCCATATTTGTCGAAAATTCCACGATCGACGGAAATCAATCGTCATGGCAACAGACGATATGATTGACGAAATCGCCAGATCCGCTCAAAGAGCGTCCGCGCGACGACCTTCGTCCTAAATCCGGCGACAGTCCGAAAGTGCACACCATAAAATATTCTCGTGCCGCGGCCATTAAGGCCGTCTACCACGCAACTGCGAGTCGTCGGCTTCGTTCGAGACGGCACGGATCGCCGTTGTCTATTACGTTTTTCGTCGAAAAAGAATTATTCGACGCTGAATGCTAAAGACCGACGCATCTTTTAATCCTCCCCCGAAGAACGGAATAATCGATTTTATTTCCCGTTGACAAACCGAAATGCAGCGCCTTAACTGGCGACGCGACGTTGCAACCGCAACGCCGACGCCGACGTCGACATTCGCAGTCATTCGGAGAATTTATATCGATGCATCTGACTCATTTATGCAGTTATGCGAAGCTTTGCAAATGACATTCTATGTAGAAACGCTTTTGAGATATTCGCTAGCTTTCTGTTGGCCAACTATGCGAGAAATGGCGCAGATTACGGACAGATAAAGTTAGGAATAAAAGAAGATTGTGATCTTAAAATATAAGTCTATTCTAAATGTCTTTCTTGCGTGTTAAAAAGATATGTATATTATGCTACTTCAAAATGTGTAACAACTAAAAGAATTAAATTTTTCAGAAAAAGGGAAAAATCATTTTTCAACTTAATAAAAAATTATTACTAAAATCAAATAACATCGGCAAAATACTCTTAGAAACACGATCAAATGTCGTTTTTGTAAATTTCATTTCACTAAAAAATTTTTCATGCATGAATATGTATAAATATGTATAAACATGCATAAACACGCATATTCATAAACATGTATAATTATATATGAAATATGTCTATACATGTATTATACATCCTTCTTTCTTTTGTGTCTAATACAAATAATAATAGTAATATGAAAACATAAAAAAATAATTAAAAGGATAATTTTTGCATTACTTGTTTTAGAAAAAGTTTGGGAAAATGTAAAAAAATTGTTCATACATAATTATGCATAATTTTATATAGTAATTTTTTACATTTCTTCAAACTTGATTTTTTCTAAAACAAATGGTGCAAAAATTACCTTTTTAATTATTTTTAATGTTTTCATATTAGTATTATTATTTCTATTACACTAAAAAGTAATTTTACAAAAGAAAAAAGGATGTATGAACACTATGAACATGTATGGACATATTTCATATATATTTATACATGTTTATGAATATTTATGTGTGTTTATGTATGTTTATACATATTTATACATATTCATGCATGACAAATTTTTTACCGGGTAAAACCCTGAAAAGCTATCTTTATTTTAATCGTAACGATTTTGATAAAATTAAACAAATCCACAATAATTCATCAAAAGTGACATAATTCGAGATATCAACAGTTAATATTTATCTTGATCAGCTAAAAATGGTTAAATTTAAAATAAAATAATTTCTTCATCAAACTACGATCACCAAAACCGTTTTGCCTCTAAATGTTCTCTATAGAAAAGTTTATCGAAAAATAGAACAACCAGATTAAAAACGATAAAAGTGCTATTTGATGGATGAACTGTGAAATTAAGTTAGTTTACTTTTGGTGATTGATAAAGTAATTTTTATACCTAATTCATTCATGATAATAATTGGAAAATCACATTTTTAAGTTGTGTTATATTATTCCCTCTGAGGTAAGAGAATAGTATATTTTTCAGGATTATTAACTTTAGTTTAAGATTGTGTTTTAAGATTGACAAATACTTAATCGGCACGCAGTTTGTTTGAATTGGCAATTGTAAAACTAAATTGTAAAAAATATGCACCAAGAT